TTTTTAATATTTGTATACTTGCACGCAATTTTTAAGATAACTTCAATAAAACTGACATACTCTTGAAATATTAAACATTAGAAAACACTTTCTTTTCTTTTTCTCAAAACGCGCTCTTATAATGTTATAATAATAAATGCAAGTATAAATAATAATAAATGCCCTATAATGCTATACCAGGCATGGCTCTCATAGCTTCAGATCTTAATAGATTGGTAGTTTTAATATGTACATGTTGTCTTGGTGAATTAAAATGGGTCACAGTAAATATCCTATTCAATACTACACATTTTCTTGTCAGTCGTCTGATCTTAACCGGTTGGGCTTGTCCACTGTGCACATCTTTTCATGAGTGTAAGAACTGTAGGAGTATCACATACATCTAGAAGTGTTGCAAAATATTGCAAGAGTTACATCAGCCAATTTATTTATTATTATTATTCATATATATATATATATATATATATATATATATATATATATATATATATATATATATGTGTGTGTGTGTGTGTATACTCTTCGGTAAATCGAATCGAGTTCTCTCAGTCACTGCGTGTTTATCTAAAAATAAATACACTTAAATTCATCTTCATCACTGCCGTTCGCCAACGGCTTAGTGGTAACATTCCCGACTATGGCAATTCAGTCAGGTTTTGATCCTAGCTAGAGGCAACCGGACGTCTAGCCACACTGATGAGCTGTGATATAGCGTAACAGTCTATGACTATATATATATATATATATATATATATATATATATATATATATATATATGAAATGTATATATATATATATATATATATATTTTTGAAATGTATATAAATGGATTTGTTCTTTTCCTTCTCGGATCACACCTTACTGTGCCTTTATATACGTGATCAGTTCTATGCAGATAAGCTCTGTTTTTCATATTATAAAATAAAATAAAAGGATTTTTGAACATATGAAGATGGTGGAGATAATTTTCTCAATGCTTTTACCGTGTTCTGAAATTTTTTTAAGTCACTCTTTGCATTATGCAAAACAGGTCATTTAAAAAAATCACTCTAATTAGGTCTCCTGATCAAGTAATAATGTGCATATAACATCTATATAATACTAAAACTCTAATCTTGTATGCATGCATGCATGCATATAATTATATGTGTGTTTGTGTGTGTGTATTCCCAAGTGATACAGCTTAAACGATACATAATACCCCAACTGAAGGTTCATTGGTTAAGGCCGTTTATCTGTTTTTGCGGCATTTTATATGGGAAATTCAGTATTCAATACACATTCTGATATTGATCCCCGTATATAAACAAGAACTTGCATATCATATTTCAAGTATTATGTGTGTGAAAAATAATAAACATACTTAATGTATTATAACAACATAATTAATAAATTTAACTAAATAACACAACTTATATTCATACAATTAACTACACTACATTAGAATCTTTTTATAAACTACTTGAAAGGTAAATAGGCTATATGTGTCGCATGACTTAATGGCAAATAACTAAATAGATGCACGCTGATTTGCTGCCGTTTCGTATTTTGAAATAAATGCGAGGAAGAAACAATTTACTACTACTACCTCAAATATTTTATATTATTTTAACTTAATATTAGTGAATATCAATGAATGAGTTTGGTATTTTTTATACTTGTTTCATTTCTTTCGAGTAAACAGAACAGAAAATGCAAAAATCAAATCGAATTCTTTGGATATACTCGTAAACTAGTGAGAAAACATGTTCATTTGGCATCAGCGTGAAATCCACAATAGTCGGCATCTTGACAACGGCACCAATTCTTTGATTTTTTTTGCGATTCATGGATGAATGGTTTTCAATATCGCTCTATCTTTTGTTAACATTTTGATTGTAGTTGTTATGTGGTCAATATTTTGTGATCAAGTTAAAATAAATCAAGCGAAACATCAAATTTAATTAAGTGGTTTTGAAATGCAAAGTTGGAAAGAGAAAATGTGGTTGATTGATCCGTTTTTTTACGGCTTATCAACACTTTGCATGTTATTTAAAGCCAGAAAATATTTTTAGATTGTACGAATTTTTTTCTTGAGATAATGATTTGGTGATACAAATCTTGCTAATTAACCCATAGTTGGGGGGAGAAGAGGTAGATTCTTACCTTTTCCAAGGGTATTTGGGCATAAGTAAATATAATGAACCCGACCGGAATTGGAACTCGACTTTCCAATTCTGAGCCATTATCCATTATACAACCCACACATCCAAGCTTACAGCACCTGTTATTCCCATAAATAATAATAATAATAAAAATCAACATATACAGAAAGTACAAAAAGTACGAATGATTATCGAATTAGAGCTTAATTTTGAAAAACTTCAGAGAAAATGTACAGTCTCTTGATTCGGTTTGTCGCTCGGCCTCTGTATATCACGTTATGTTGCAAGAAGCCGGAAACATTAATCTATGTGTTTACAAAGAAGTGTCTCCTATTTGACTTATTTCCGTGGTTTTTCTTCGTTGTATAATTTCCGATTTTCTGAAACGGCTTTTCAAACAACCTTTAAAGCCATAACGAAATTCTTGAGAATTTCCCAAGTAGATTAAGACAGTCATGAAACTGTTGGAATTGGCCAACCAAGTGATGATGAAATCCATATTCAGGGGAACTCTCTTGATAATATCAAAAGAGACGAGAACGTCACAAATGGTGTAGGGACCCCAACAGACAAAGAAAGAAATGACACTAAATAAGAGTACACGTATGGACCTCGTTGTTCGGTCATTTTTAACCTGTTGTAACCTCTCACCTTTCACCTGACCGATTGTCCTTAAAGTTCTCATTATTTTGTAAGACGAAAAAATGAGAATAACGGTGCTTAAAATGTAAATGAAAAATGCGCTAATTATAGTGAAAGCATCCGAGTGTCTGGGAAAAACACATATGAGAAGGTTAGAGTGAAAATGGTAAAAGTGACCTTTGTGAACCAGAGGATATATAAAAGCAAAACTTCCTAGAATCCAAAAGACAGCAATCGCGGTGAATCCGATAAGGTATTTGTTTGTGTTACGGTAGAAAATTGGGTGGTGTATAGCGACATAACGATCCATGCTGATGGCGGTTAAACACCAAATTGTAACAGCGCAACTTATTCCATTTAAAATGCTGGAAAGTTGGCAGTATTTTTCACCAAATGTCCAGTAGTTTAAAATAGAAGACAGGAAACCCGGCACACACACCAAGAAGCCGTTGACAAGACCGGCCACACTGAGGTTGATCAACAGCAATCGACTGAATATCTGTAGTTCACGTGATTTTCGCAATACATATATACTGACAGTATTGCTAAAAATAATAAAAGACATAATGAGAAATATTAATGCACTTCTAAGCACCTTAACCCCAGTGGAGTGATGGTAATATAGGGAACTATCAGACATGTTTAAAAAAAAAAATTAATGCTTTAGAAAACGATTCAATGTAGTAACAATCAAATCCAGAAGTTTTTATCCACAGTTCGAGGCCGGTCAAGTCGGTTTTACGAGGATTATATTATTATTCATTAATCATATTTCGCCAAATCATATATACGGTAAATTCAACTCTGTCCCCCAACATGTATTATCAATCAAAATGGCCGAGTGCTTTGATTATTTGACAAAGAAACCTTAAGGCCTTTTTTTGTTCCGAATTTGAAATCAGTAATAACATCCCTTTTATATTAGAATCGAGAAGCTAAGTTGTTTGGTGTACGAGCTTGGATCCTGAATGAAGGTACTTGGATATTAGTTTTTGTTGGCAGCGTCTTACTTCATGGGAACCGGTGACCAACTAGATGTGACTTTTAAAGTTGTTATGAGAAAACCTGACGAAATTTAATCCTTTAAATTTTCTTTTCTGTTGCATCGACGTTTCACTCAGTCCAGCAGAAAAATTACTTTGCTTTCTGCTCAATGCGTTTTAATAGATTGTAATCTATTCATAAGACAATTTTAAATGAATTAGTCAACAACTTCAGTATTCTCCACTCACATCAGACATGTCATAAATTCACATTCTAAGAGTATTGGATCCGTAGAGTTTGGTGTTTTGATGTAAGCGCCAATTAACCTAAAGAAATATAAAGTTTATTGTTAATGATATCATTTTAACAACAACAACAATAATAACAATAATAATAAAATATGCCGTAAGTTTGGCTTCAGTGTAAAAGAGAAGTGGTATAATCCAGTCAGAGGCATAGTGTAGCAGTTATGTTATTACGGGATTTCTCAGTTCATACAGATCATATCAATGAAGTACGAAAATCCGACCTTATTGTTAGAGATAAGAACTGTAAGCTCCATATTATTAACTTTGCTGTTCCATATGATACTGAAATATTCTAAAATACTAGAAGCTATGGAACATGAATGTAGAACAAATTCCTGTAACAATGGCATGAGCTTGGATCACCACCGAGAAAATTGAAAAAACGTTTAGGAAGAATTAAAATTGAAACCAAGATTGTAGAACTCCGGAAAAATGCCATCGTTTCTTGTAAGAGAATTCTTCAAAAAAGTTCTTGAGTTTTGAACAGTCTTTTTGGCATCATTCCCCAGAGACAGAATTTCAATTGGCTACATCAATGTACGATACTACTACTACTACTACTACTACTACTACTACTAATAATAATAATTTAATGCATTTACCTCTTCACACCAGATATTTGCCTGTGAATGTGTGACAACAAGCCTTAAATCTCTAGACAATGATCAAATCATCAGAAATGATTTGACGCGCATATCTGGTATTCGTATCCCATATTTATTGATCATATGTTTAATCTGTTTAATACGAGTAATGATGGTGTACGGTTGAACCAAACATTGTACTATTATAGATTGGTTAAACCTGATTACAACTTGATTAATTTTTAGACCTTCTGTTTGACCTTCATACTCACACTATAATAATTCAGTCATGTATTAGAACAGGTTTGCGCAAGCAGAAGGATTGAAGAACGGAAAACCATATCATGTTAAAACACCGGTTCCTGTACGATCACCGAAGTTAAGCAACGTCAAGCCTGGTCACTAACTAGATAGTTAACCGTTTCGGAATACCAGGTGCTGTAAGCTTGGATGTGCGGGTGATGTGATGTGATGGATAATATTTCGGAAGTGTTAATCGGAGAGCCGAGTTCATATTCCAGCTGGGTCTGTAATATTCATTTGGTAAAGGTGTGAATCCACTTCTTCTCCCCGCAGTTATGGGTTAATTAGTAAGATTTATATCACTAAATCATTGTCATCTCACCGCCCCCCCACACCACCCAAAAAAATTCTTAGCATCAAAATATATTTTCTGGTTTTAAATAACCTGAAAAGGTTGCCAAGAAGTAGAAAACGAATCAATCATACGAAGAAAGGAAAATATTTTAATAAAGGTAAATTCATACCTTCTCAGTTCTATATACTGTATACTTGGTACAAGTTCCCACAATTTCTCCTCCGTCTGGAGATATTTTCTCGAACAATTAAACTGTATAGAAATCGGAGTGAAATATATTATTATTATAATATTATATTATTAACACTATTCATGCATTATTGAATATATATAAATATGAGCAGAGATACATTATTTACATTATTAGGACTATAGTCCTCATCTTTGTCGCCATATTTATCACAACGTTTCGGTCGTTGTACGCTCCGGCCTTCTTCAGGTGGTTGGAATTTCGAACTGAACCCTTTATTTCGCTCACTGGGGTAGACTGTTCTAGTTCCACGTGCCATGTTTGATGGATGTCAGTTATCAGTTATCTCCTGTTAATTTCGCTCTGAAAGTTCTCCACTGCCTTACCCGGGTATTGAACTCACACTCTTTGGGTCCTGTCATTGGATCTAACCAACGCCTTTATCCACTGTGCCATGTGTCCTCAAGGACACATGGCACAGTGGAACTAGAACAGTCTACCCCAGTGTGCGAAATAAAGGGTTCAGTTCGAAATTCCAACCCCCTGAAGAAGGCCGGAGCATACAACGAAACGTTGTGATAAATATGGCGACAGAGATGAAGACAATAGTCCGAATAAAGTAAATAATGTATATAATACCTCATCTCAGAAATATAGACAGACTATGAGCAGAGATATTCTATATTTTTGCAATTCTTTTCTTACGCTATATGCATCATTGTTTCTATGTAAATTTCACGTTTACAGATGTTTTATCCGTTCATAAATACGCTTCAAGCCAAGCGAACACTTCGGTACTTCTTTATGAAGATATCTGAAATCATTTTAGCCCCAATACTTTAACTTCTATTTTGAATTTGCATAATTAACAATTTGAATAACCTTGTCTCTCGTCCGCCATTTTTTTCAAATCACTGTCTAGGTTATTAAATGATAATTTGTACATACCACACGAAAGGGAAAGCAACAAAAAATATATGCAATGTGCAATTCCAAAAATCTGTTAAGTATATTTTCAATATAAAAGCTCTCAAATTTGAAAAAAAATTTCATATATATGATTTAAAGTAATTCCAAGTCAACAACAGGAATTCATAACGAATATACTGTGCTCCAGAATAGCAGAAATAGAAAGAATTTCATGTCCCTAGATATAGGTATCTCAGTATAACTTATAAGTGCCTTAAAATCTATTAATTAAAAAAAACTCCTGCGTAACGGAGTATGGAAACACAGATCATTAGAAGATACAATTGCATTTCAGATAGAACTACAAATTAATAAAAGAAATTACACAAAAATATCTTCAAATGCTAAAGAGTAAACTTATTCAATAAAATCGCCATTGGCTTCAATTACTAAAAGAAATGTCTCGCTTGAAGTAAACGTAATCTTTAGACACGCTATTTACTTACAATAATCCGGAGAGAAAATGGCAATTACATAATGAAGATAGAAGAGTCAGGTGTAATTCGATTGAATTTTGAAAGGATAAAAAAGGTGATGGCTGATTAAACGAAACACTCACCAAGTAAATAAACTTGTATTCGATCATGTGTAATATTCAAAATAACATCCTTAATCATAAGATCGTAGTTCATAGCTAATTTTGAACACCAAATCAGGTCGTTACTGCTTCATTTACAATGAAACTACTGACTGACTAATTTTTAGAATCCAATTATGATCTTACCTGAACTCGAAAACCTAGCGATGATATAACAATCCGATTACGTTGAACAGTGAATGGAACATACGCTAATTTCAGCCATGTTATATTTATCGTTGTTAATGACGCTTTCTTTAAACTATATTTTATCAGTTTGAAATTTTTGATCACGTGAATTTTGCAAAGAGAAGAATCAAACAAAATTCGCAATTACAAGAACGCATTGCAAAATACTCAGTATTATGACAAACAACCACCGCGAAATTTACGATTTTAAAAATAACAAAATCTAATGGACTTGTAAACGTGAAATAAATCTCTGGTCAATTGGCAAGTGGAATATATTTTCTGCAATATATGAGATTCAAGAAAACGTTTACCTGGAAGATGAGTGTTTTAAGGGTAACACGTATCTCTTTTATTTTTTTCCATTTTAAAAATATTTTTCAAACATTTAATACAGTCGATTGTTCAAAATTCAGCCCAACAAAATATTAAAAAATTGGTTTGTTTTAATGAAAATTATTTACATTAAATCTAGAACGGGTTATTTCCCCACCTATCCACAGTGGTAAGATGTTGCACAAAGTTGGATTAATATGTGTATGGTGGGGATGTAACGCCGACGTTGTTCACCATCAACCCTTCTTTTTGGTGCAATGAGAAAGGTGCTGGAGCAGGGTTGGAATTCCTAGGACACGCTTCTCCCATAAGTTAAAGAGGTAGAAATAACAAATACTATATTATGATTCCATATTACTATATAATATACGTTTATTTACTTATTTCTCCACGGTGGTAAAATGTGACGCAATACCATTTTTAACGTGGGGCTGACATCGGTCAATCGAAAAAGAGCCCAGTTTCCGCGACCATTGTCATGTTGGCATTGGTATTCAACGAAGAAAGTGCTGCCACAGGGTTAGAATTCGTAGGGCCAGGCATCCCTGGTGCACTATCCGAAGACAAAAACACGATAGATGGGTGACGAAAAACCTGAAGATTAGCAGATATAAAAAAATTAGAAAAGAATAAAGACGATAACCGGGGTCGTGATCCTTTCTCCTTATTGCCTTTCTCCCCTCGGGTGGCGGTGACGGAGATGGCTGTGAAGGCTCAGCCTACTCCTGAAGAGTCGTAAGCAGGAGTCATAGAGAAGTGTCAGTGGTAGACGTGGCTTGGCGAGTCGGGACCTCCTGACAGCACGTTGCATATACTCTTCATGTTTACAATTGAACTCGTAAGTCTTGTAAAATATCCGCATGTCTGGGAAAAACACATATGACAAGTTTAGTGTGAAAAATCGTACAAATCAACTTTCTAAAGTAAAGGAGAGGTAAAGGTAGATATGACAGTAATAGCCACGAATGCGACAAGATATTTGTTTGTGTTGTGGTATAAAATTGGGTGGCGGATAGCGATATAACGATCCAAACTGATAGCGGTTAAACAACAAATTGTTACAGCGAAACTTGTTCCATATAAAACGCAGCAAAGCTGACAGTACATTTCACCAAACGGCCAGCAGTCCATAACAGAGGCCAAGAAACCTGGCAGACACACGAAGAGGCCGTTGATAAGACCGGTTACACTGAGATTAATCAGCAATATTCGGCTAAATATTTTCAATTCTTCTAATTTCCGCAATACATAAATATTGATGGTATTGCTAAAAATAATAAAAGACACAATGAGAAATAGTAATGCACTTCTAAGGAGTAATAATAATCGCAGGAGGATGATGGAGATGTACAGCATTGATCCGCAAGTTTTTTTTTAATATCTTAATACTTTAGAATGCGATTCAATGCTGTAACAATCAAATCTTAGGATGTCTGTTGTTTTGACGAGGATCATATTGTTCATTAATCCCGTCTTATCAAATAATATATCGGGTAAATGTGACGCAAATTTATATCCAACGAAAACAGCCGATTCAGCTGTAAAGTTGCTGGGAGGAGTAAAAAATTGGGTGGTGTATAGCGACATAACGATCCAGGCTGATGGCGGTTAAACATCAAATTGTTACAGCGCAACTTGTTCCATTTAAAATGCTGGAAAACTTGCAGTATTTTTCACCAAATGTCCAGTAGTTTAAAACAGAAGAAGGAAACCCGGCACACACAACAAGACACCTTTGTCAAGACCGGCCACACTGTGGCTGATTGAATATGATTGAATTTCCGCAATGCGTAAATGTTGACAGTATTGCTAAAAATAATAAAAGATATATTGTGAAATAGTAATGCATTTCTAAACACAAATCCATAACATTTGAAATTGACTTGATGACATGATGTAGCAGATGAGAATGGCGCTGGTGATGTAGGGACCCCCAGAAAACGAGGATACATATCCTGCTACAAATGACTATATTTTTGGACCTTGTACTTCGGTAATGTTTTCTACCTTCTTTCAAAGTGACATTTATTTTGTTGAGTATTTTTAATATTCTATATATTTTGCAAATTGGCACACCCAAGACAATAGCGTTTAGAATATACATCAATAATGTGTAAACAGTTGAACACTGATGACAATTCCAGAACAACGTAACAATAAACAATTTTTTCTATCCTCTGCCAGCCGCAATGATCGGAGAAAGCATTACCTCGAATCATCGCCAGTGAGACACGCTGCAAGAGCCACTTCGTTTCGCGAGGCTCGTCCCTTAATCGAGACGCAATCGCGCCAATCCTCCGAAGGAACGCCATCGAACGAGGGCCAATAACCCCTGAAGTCTCCACTGCTACAGGAGTAAAAAAAAATCTAGCAGCAAGAGAAGAATATTTAACTATTTTTTTCATCTCTGCGTCCCGGGCGACGGATCCTGGCTCAACCGCGGAACTGATCAAATTACCGACCGAAATGTATCCGCACAGGTCGCATCCCAAATCAACGACCTCCCCATTTTAAAAGGAAAATGCCATCCGGCCGCTTTCCATCACCGCGGTCGAGGCCTACGGGTTCGATTTGGGAAGGGAACCC